CTGCCCCAGCCATCTATGGTGGCACGGAGGACCTGGCTGAGGAGGTGACAGCCACCATCAATGGCACCGTCCACTTCAAGTGTGAAGCCACTGGGCACCCGGTGCCTGCAGTGTCCTGGCTCTGGAATGATGTCCCCATTGTGGCCAGCCCACGGCACCAGCTCCTGGAGGGTGGCATGGTCCTGCAGGTTGGTGTTCCCCTGGGCAGGGTGGCTGTGCCGGGGGAGAAACCAGGTGGAGGGGATGGGGCACCCTTCCCATCCTGAGGAGGGGGCCGCCCTGGTCTCCATGGGAGCTCCATCAGGTCCCCAGGTCGGGGCAGCCCTCAGCGGGTCTCTGCTCCCTTTCGTAGGTGGCTGCGGTGGAGGTGGGTGACACCGGCAGCTACACATGTGTGGCTGAGAACCTGGCTGGGTCAGCCGAGAAGCACTTTGCTCTGAACGTGCAGGGTAAGGCATCCCCAACTGCTGATTTACCCTCCCTTCCCTCTCCTCCTCCTCCTCCTCCTCTGCCAGCTGGAGTCTCTCATGGCTCCTGAACCTCGTGGCTGCCTCTGTCTCCCCGTGCTTGTCACACTTGCCCCATGCGAGGAGGTCGAGGTGCCGGCACATTCCAAGCAGGCGAGATGTTCAGTGCATGTCTCCTCCTGGGGAGACCTCAGCCTCCATGGTGATGGTTCTCCTCTGGCACTCTCTTTTGGGGTGTGCTGGAGCAGAAGCACCCCAGATCATGGGTGCAAACCCCGAAAGCATCAACGGCAGCATCAACGGCAGCGCCTTGCTGGTGTGTGATGTCCAGTCCCACCCTGCTGCGGAGATCACCTGGTACAAGGATGGCCAAGTCCTGCAGCTCGGTGAGGAGGTGACCGTCACCCCAGGTATGTTGGGATGAGCAAGAATGACAGCCTGTCCCCCAGGGCTTGGCACGGCCGCTGGCTCTTGATGGTGGGCTCTAACTCCCCTAACCCGTTGTCCTGGATGCCGCATGCGGGACTCGTGCTCAGACTTTCAGCCATAACCACACGCTAACAGCTTACTGCAGAGTGATCCCTGCTGGAAAGGACCGAGGTCACATCCTGCAAACTGTGCTCTCACTCCCCAGGAGCTCAGCACCCTTTGCTGCTGTGCACAGCGAGGTCTTGGACCTCAAAGAGGGACTTTGATGGCCAGACAGCTCTTGCGTGGAGCTTGGCCGGCTGCTGGGGGACAGGCCAGCTTGCCGGCACGGTGACCTGGACCTGGTCCTGCTCCAGCCTGCGTAGACTCCCTGCTCTCCACTTCTTCCAGGCTCGCGGCTCCTGCAGCTCCCTCGCCTGCAGCTTTCCAGCTCGGGCACCTATGTGTGCGTGGCGCTGAACCCGGCCGGCCGGGACGAGAAGAGCTTCGTCCTCACCATCCACGGTGAGCGGCGAGGGCTCGGCTGGGAGCTCTGGCCCCTGAGCACGCACCAGGGAGCTGATGGCAAACCCTGGTCTATGTGTTCCTGCTCACACACCCCATCCCCGCTCCTCCTCCCCAGGGCCCCCGGGCGCGCAGGACCCACACCAGGAGATGCTCGAGGCCGACATGGGGAGCCCCCTCGTCCTGACCTGTCAAGTCCCCGGTGTGCCCATGCCCGCTGTCACCTGGCTGAAGGACGGGAGCCCGCTGGGTATGTGCACGAGGGGACACCATGCCAGGCTGCCATCCCGAGCCTTCCTGCTGCCATGACTACCTCAGTTTCCCCAATTCTAAGCCTGCTGTGAGAGAATGGCAGGAACCCCAGGGAGCAGGCAGAGCACGAAGGGGCTGGCATTTTCCCAGAGTGTTTTTTAAGTGGCAGCAGCTGAAAATTTGGGATGAGATAGAGGGTGAGCTCTCTGGGTACCAGCCCTTGGGCTATGCACTGGGACGAGGGTTTGCCCCCAGACCAGTGGCTCTCTTCTCCCGCAAAGCTGCAGCAACGCGGGGTGCAGACACCCTGCTCTGCAGAGCCCTGACCTCGGCTTTAACCAAGCCCCCCAGCCTGGGTCCTGGGGGTGGGAAGGAGGGAGTGTGACGACGTGCCTGGGCGATGAGCGCCGCTGCAGCCCCCTGCACCCCATCTCCTCGCAGAGAGCTGCCCGGAGCGGGGCCTGGTGTCCGGGGGGGGCCAGCTCCAGCTCAGCCCCCTGCAGCCCTTCCACCAGGGCCGGTACACCTGCCTGGCGCGGGGCGCGGGCACCGAGACACGCAAGGACTTCGTGGTGCTGGTGCGAGGTAGGGCTTCCCCGGGGCGATGGGGGGGTCCCCACAGGCGCTCCCTCAGAGGGGAGCCTTCCTCCACCTCCTATTCCTCAGCCTCCTTCTTTTCTCGGTGCAGTGGCACCCCAGATCGCCAGCGCAGGGGTCCCCAGCGAGCACAGCGTGCTGGAGGGCAGAAGGGTGAGGCTGGAGTGCCGGGCGGAGGGGCAGCCCACCCCCCAGATCTCCTGGCTGAAGGACGGGCACCCCCTGCGGCTGCAGCCTCCTTCACGCGCCCAGTGAGTATGGGGTGGGGGACAGCACCCCACGGGTTAGCCAGGGCACATCTCCGTCTGTGCCTCAGTTTCCCCATGTGCAAACAAGCTGTGTGAGGCAGGCTGAGCTCTGCTGCTTCTCCCCTGTCTCCCTGCTCGGGCTGGGATGACCATCTCCCAGATGTTGGTTGAGCAGCATCATCCCAGGTTAAGCCCTGGTGCCCTGGATGGTGCCGCAGCCTGGCATGGTCACTGTCACCCTGGTCCCGGCTCCTGTGCTGGCCTTGCAGGGCACCTCAAAATCTGCAGCCTGGATTGCAACCAAGAACAGAGAATCTCTGTCCCGTGGGCATATTAGGGATGGGCACACAGGTCACTGTCCCCTTCTCCCTGCCCAGGATGTCCCCCGACGGCAGCTCTCTGCTCCTTGAGGGGCTCCAAGCCGCCGACGCCGGGGCGTACACCTGCCTGGCCCGAAACAGCGTGGGCGAAGACACACGGCTGCACATGCTGAGCGTGCTGGGTGAGCGGGGCCGGGGCCCACAGGGCAGCACCAGGGCCACCCACCCCCGACAGCCCCATCAGCCCCTCTGTCCCCTCTCCCAGTGCCCCCTGCTATTGAGAGAGGCACCGACACCTCGGAGGTGGTCCATGGCGTCCCATCTGCAGCGGTGACGCTGGAATGCCGGGCACGGGGGTCCCCTCCGCTGCACGTGAGCTGGCTGAAGGAGGGGCTGCCCCTGCGCCTGTCCCCCCGTGTCACCCTGCTCTCGGCTGGGCACGTCCTCCGGTAAGAAGCGACCCTCGAGTGATGCTTGGCTGCAGGCTTTGGGGCTGGTACCCAGGTCTGCGTGCTGGGATGGCCACAGCTGCACCCCAAAGGTGGCCGCGTGTGAGCGCGGAGACCTTGGGAGGCAGCGGGGGACCTGGAGCTGCCGTCTCGTCTCCACCCCTGTGCCCCGCTCCGTGGGGTAGGATCTCGCAGGCACAGGTCTCAGACGCTGGGCTCTACACCTGCATCGCCTCCAGCCGGGCAGGGGTGGCCGATCGCAGCTTCGTCCTGCGGATACGGGGTACGGGGCAGCCGGGGGCTTGGGGTGAGCAAGGTGGGGGGCACCCCAGCACCAATTTTGCTGGCAGAGCACACATCACGCTTTGCAGCTGTGTTTCTAAGCAGGGTCCTGAGCCAGTCCTCAGCCGCTGGGGTGGTCTCGGGGAGGATGGGGCAAGGCAGGACCAGCCTGAAAGCGGTCCCAGAGCACGCTGGAGGGAGGCTGAGCCACCTTTGGGTGCTCGCAGGACACCGGGGAATTGCCAAACCCACCTCCTGTGCCTGGAGACCCGGCTTTCCTCCCACGGCCCTGCTAAGGGGGGACCGCTCCCTCCCCAGTGCCCCCCGTTCTGGAAAGCCCAGAGAGCAGCGAGGAGCAGATGGTGGGCGAGGGCTCCGATGTCACCTTCACCTGCGAAGCCACGGGGTCCCCAGCGCCGGCGGTGACCTGGCTGAAGGACGGCGAGCCCCTGGCACGGCAGAGCAACCCGGGGCGCGCGGGGCTTGGCGGCCGTGGGGCCAGCTGACACCGGGGTGTACTCCTGCCTGGTGGCCAACGAGGCAGGGGAGGCCAGCAAAGCCTTCCACCTCCTGGTGATGGGTGCGTGCCTGTCCCCGGGGATCTGGGAGGGACAGTCCTCCCGATTTTTTGGGAGCAATGAGGGGATGAGCCCGCCTGCCTCACCATGCACCTTGCAGAGCCTCCCCGCATCAAGGCTGCACCGCATCCCACCGAGATGTCCATCGCCATGGGCACCCCGCTAGAGCTGGCGTGTGTGGTGACGGGTGTCCCCAAGCCCACTGTAACCTGGGAGAAGGACGGGCAGCTGGTGGCAGGGCCCTGGCTCGTGTCGGGGAACGAGAGCACTTTCCACATCGAGAGCACAAAGGTTGGGGCTCCTCTTTCTTCTTCTCACCTGCATTTTGTTATCATGCGATGTCCATCGCCATGGGCACCCCGCTAGAGCTGGCGTGTGTGGTGACGGGTGTCCCCAAGCCCACTGTAACCTGGGAGAAGGACGGGCAGCTGGTGGCAGGGCCCTGGCTCGTGTCGGGGAACGAGAGCACTTTCCACATCGAGAGCACAAAGGTTGGGGCTCCTCTTTCTTCTTCTCACCTGCATTTTGTTATCATGCCTCAATTTTTCCCTCTTCTGGCTTTGCACAGGTGGCCGATGCTGGCTTGTACACCTGCCTGGCCACTAGCCCTGCAGGGGAGGACAGCAGGAGCTTCCACGTCAGCATCCCAG